TTCCCCCTTGAATTTTCCCAACACCCCCCCAGTTTTGTGAACGATGGTGCCATACAGCCCACCTTCACCGTCACGGTGTCACCCCTCATCGGCCCTGACAGCCTCCCTTTGAAATTCACCCTCCCCCCCCATTTCAATTCCTGGGGAGGCTACTGAGCCAGGTGGAAAATGAACGCCTCCTTTTTAAAGCTGAAAGAAGGACGAGCGAGGTTTAGCCATCTCTGGTAGGACAACATGCTCCAGCCCTTTGCAATATGTTATCAGGGCAAGGAAGCGCCCCCTCAAGAGAGGGGCTAAAGATTATTCTCGTCATCTTTCATCCCCGATCATCCAAATGAAGGAGACAACCGTGCCACAGTGAATGCCAACACCCCGAGCTAGTCCACCGCACAAGTAGGTTTGCTGGCGTCTCCGGTGGCTTTGGATCGTGCTGAAGATCAGCGCTCTTAAGAAGGGGCAGGGCACTGGAGGAGAGCTGAGCTGGCAGGTGGCTTTTACAAATCACGTGCCACGTACACCAACTAGACCCTCATCAAGTACAATACACATGACCCCATTAGCCAGAGTCCAGAGTCCCTGGAGCAGGTGATCATTGGACTGAACGAGACACCAAGTAATGTTTTTGGGTGGGGCGGATCAATTCACCAGTAGGCTTCGTGACAGGGTAAGTTCTTACGCGGTGCTGGATAAACCTCATGGAATTACGCTACATCTTACTACGTGCAAGACCGTGGTGGGGGAGGTCCATGCTATGAAGCGTGCAGTTCTGTATAGGATTAGACACTTTCTCTGGGAGGTAGAATTGCTGCCAACCTTGAGGAAATGATAGAACTGCTCAGGATAGTGGGTCTCCAAGGCAGTATTGGGGGGGGAGGCTTTTTGAAGCCAAGACATGAGAAGAAAACCTGGTCTCCTTATTACCTACTCCTGCAAACTCCAGATCCAACTCACTTCATCTGTACAATGGAGGGACTAAACTAGGCGTGCGTGTACTAGGCTGTTCTGAGCCTGCGATCAGACAGGACTGTACAATGGAGGGACTAAACTAGGCATACGTGTGCTGGTTCTAAGCGGAGGCTGTTCTGAGCCTGCGATCAGACAGGAGACCACTTTATGGAGGTTGAAGAGTTAGTCACCCTGCCAGAGCTCATGCTGGTTGTGATCTCGGTTAGGCTTGGTAGAATGCAGGTAGGTTCGTTTATTGTTTGCAAAGTGCTCTTTCTAAGCAAGCATGTTTTATTCTTAAGGTGAAAGCAATACTGAGGAAACATTACTACGTGGTACTTTACCATTGTAGGCAATGACTGTTATTAGCCTCTGAAGAGACAGCAGAAGAAGCCTGCTTAGGCAGCCTGGCCTTTACTGGGGACCTCAGGGAACTGACCGGCCCAGAAATGCTCTAATCATAAGGGAAATAGACACGTGTCTCTACCCAAGACAGTCAACGGCCAGGTAGCTGGAAACCTGGAGCTAAGTGCCTTTGCTGGACCGTAAAGGGAGAACACAGGTACAATTGCCCTCAGATCCCATTCCTGGAATTGACACTAATTGTTCTGCCCCTGCAAAAAAGCTGCAGTTCCCTTCGCTAATACTTGCACACGGTTTTCCTTCTGGGTTTGTACAGCAGCAAGCTAGGCCATGACCAGTGCTCTTAGGCACCATAGTCCCTCAACTAATAAAGAATTGACTTTAGCATGGTAATAAAAATGTGCACGTACAACTCAAGGGCAAAACTCAGAGGCTCACTTCAAACTGTTTGGTCCTTAAAACTAGAATCCCTGCCAATGACTATAAACTTAGTGACTATCCAGTCCTATAGCAGGAAACATCACTAGGGCTGAGAGGAGGAAGTGAGGTTGAAATCAATTCAGGAGGCGCTGGAAGGGCCTAGCTTACACAATCAGCTCCTTAGAACGGGAGGGGCAGAGCACCGACTTGGCAGTCCATGATCGTCGATCGTTAACCCCCCTCTCGCAGCGTTAAACCCCAAAAGAATGCAACCGTCAGCACCCTGCCCCATGGAAGGGAAACTGGCTCTCAGGTACCACAGCCATTCAGACATTAAAGAACAGAGATAAAACGAGATACAAAATAGAGCACTTTATTTGCAAGATGCACATTACAAAATCATTTAAAAACAGGCATAAAATAAATACTTAGCCTAGCAGAAAGAGACACACACAGTTTTGTTTGTGGGCTTTCAGTTGTAAGGCACTCGGCCCCATGGCTTAAAAATTCATATTCCCTAGTTGCACATGCACAGAAAGCATGAGGATGCGTGTTAGTCAGGACATGCACACACATCGTGGCAGGCACCCATACCTTACACACACACACACACACACACACACACACACACACACACACAGGTCAGGCACATGCATTTTTGAGGCCAAAGCTGGCTAAACATTAACATTTCACTACAAACTTGAAATCTATATTTTGCATTTCCATATATAAAAAAAAACCTATGTCTTTGGCTAAGACACTTAAAATGAGTTTCCTGCATTCGATATTTACAAATAATTTGGGATTTATTTCCAAATAGCAAAATACTTCCATCTACAAAAAACCCCAAATACCCTCAATATAAAAGCAAACAAAAAGTTACTTCAGGAGTGGGTCCTTTGGAAGCTAAAGGATATTGACTTTAAAACATTTCCGTGGTCTTCTACCATCAAGCGGTATTGCAAATTCCGTTTGGAAGTCAGGGGGAGGACCTGATCTCAGGTCCTGATTCCAGTAGGTTTGACCATTTTAAATTTTCACAGGATTCAGTTCTTTCCAAGAGGTTGTCAAAAGAGGATGCAACTGCAGCAGCAGGCCCTCAGCAGCTGTCAGTCATCCTAGCTCCATGGACTACAACTGAGCTGAGGATCTGACTGCCAGGAGGGTCCCAGACCCTTAGAAGAGGTGGTCTTTGACAGCCTCAATGCACTTTGGTAGCATTACTGACTTTTCTAGTCATTCTCCGACAACACTCAAGAAACTTCCCTCCTCTGGTGGAGGAGGAAGACAAAGAATGGCACAAAAGCCATCCATATCAATAAAATGTAGCCAGAATTGTGCACTCTGGTCTAGCTCCTTTGCTCCCAAGTTCTGATTGCTGTGTTAATTATAAACAAAGAACCGCCACGCGCCTCTAGATTCTATGTCAGAATGTTTTCCACGGAGGAATTCAAACAGTGCTGGGGGCCAACAAAGGTCTAAATTAATCCCACCGTTATTTGTTTTAAAAAGCACTCAGACAGTGATCTGTTGATTTTCTCTAAACAGAGGTCTTTGGTGTAAAGGGTAGTTATCTGGGAAGAGCCTGAGTACTTGGTCATGCTGGATGTCGTCGGCTATCGGAAGCATGGGGCTGTTGCTGTAGTTCTTTGCTGCCTCTTCCACAAGCTGTCTAACCCACAGCTGCTCAACCTATGGGAGAAGGAAAGACCGTTGAGATGTTTAACGAAGAGGAGGACAAGACAGATATCTTCCCCCAGCTCCCCATAATCACCACTTCACTAAACACACGAGGGGGGATATGCAAAATGCTGTCAGTACAATAGATTAGATACCACAAGGAAAACTTCAAAAGAAATTGGG